TTGTTGCAACTTGTGCAATCTCCTCTGAAGACTGAACTTTCTTTGATAATTCACCTAATTGTAATTTAACTTCATCAACAGCTAACATCACTCCTGATAATAAAATTAAAAGATTAATTAGTATTGTTTTTACATACAGAATCGTACTTCCAATTACCTCGTCTAATTTCAATGGGATTAGCACCCTTAATAATTGATTCAAATCCTTCTTTTGCAATAGCACGTGCTAACACAGTAGCTGTAGTTGTGCCATCACCAGCTTCATCATTGGTATTATTTGCTACATCTTGTACAAGCTTAGCACCAATGTTTTGGAATTTATCTTGCAATTCAATACCTTTGGCAACAGTTACACCATCCTTAGTGATTTTAGGAGAACCCCAGCTCTGTTCTATGATGACATTACGGCCCTAATAAATACAATAGATTAATCAAAACATAAAAACCTATAATAMAATTAACAAAAAAAGATGTCTAATAAGTTATATACCAATATTTAATATTTGATACTATGTATATAGTATAATATATAAGGTAAGTAAAATTTTAATTAATTTAGTAATTTTACTCACTTTTGGGCCCATAGTTACAGCAACAGCATCWGCAAGAATATCCACTCCTTCAAGCATAAGTTTTCGCACTTCAGGCCCAAACTTTATGTCCTTGGCATAGTTTCTAGCAAAGTATTTGGGTACATTGTTTCTAGCAAAAGCAGCAGAGATACGGTACATCTATTAAATTATAAAAATTGTTATTGATAAATTAAGAATAAACAATTATAAATAGTATAAAGTAAGTCTGTTTAACATTTTTATCACCATAATAGGAAAATAAGTGTGCTTTAATTGATATTAATTTACTTGGATTAACAATGAAAAGATAATATTTATTGAAAAATTGTCTTTATTAACAGAACTTTCATTTTTAGTATTTTAAAACAAGAATATAAGTACTTTTACTTTAGATTTCGTCATGGAATGCAACTTACTTTAATTGACATTATTATGTCTAACTATCTACAACTTAATAAATTCAAATTGTATTCTAGGTTTAAATAATATATGAACAAAACAATAAA